AGAGGGAGCCAAGCTATTCTCCAAAGTGCCTGAAGGCAGGACAAGAAGCAACAGATGGAAACTAATCAAGGAAAGAAGCAACCTAGAACTAAGGAGAAACTTCCTGACAGTTACAACAATTAACCGGTGGAACAACCTGCCTCCAGAAGCGGTGAATGCTCCAACACTGGAAGTTTTTAAGAAGAGACTGGACAGGCATTTGTCTGAAATGGTATAGGGTTTCCTGTCTGAGCACGGGTTGGACTAGATGACCTCCAAGGTCCCTTCCAACATCATCATCATCATCATCATTATATCTTAACATTGCCAAGGTTGAAAAACACTGCTCTAGATCTTTGAAAGGACAATTGTAGAACAAAACATTGGAGATCCATGCTCATAAATTCCTCAGCTGCAAGAACATCTTATTCTTTTCATACCAATTGCAACAAAATCTCTTTCTTTTCCCAGGAAATACACTCTCGTATCTTTTTGTAAAGCAAGAAAAGCTTGGATTTTTAAGAGAGCATTTGGAGACATAAATCTGTGTGGTGGATTTTTTAAAACTCTCCTACATGTTTTTCCTATTTTTCCCTTTATGTTAGTATCATAACTTTATTTATTTGTATCCTGCTTTTATTATTTGGACAAACAGCTCAAGATGGAGACTATATCCAAGACACTTTCCTCCTCCTATTTTCCCCACAACAACAACTCTGGGAGGTGAGTTGGGTTGATAAAGAGTGAATGGCCCAACGTCACCCAATGGCTTTTGTAGCTAAAGTGGGACTGGAACACATTCACGGTCTCCAGCTTTCTAGCTTGGTGCCTTAACCACTAAACCAAACTGGCTCACTTTTTTATTATGATTATTACTACTTTATGATTCATTTGGATTTCAGCTACCCAGATGCTAGAATTGAGTAGAATATATACATGGGTATGTGTGTATGTGTATATATAAATAAAATAAATACAAAATAAAAATCTAAATAAATTATAGAAGGAAGTTCTCTTTCAATAAATTGAATGAGAACTGATGAAAAACATGTTTTTTTATATATAAAAAGCTCTATTTAAATGTTTGCTAATTATACTGTGCTGTCTGAAACTATTAAAATTAGATATTTATATCAGGAGACAACAGTAAGTAAATTCAGCTGTTACTATTCCCCTGCTTTTACCTGAAATATAAATTAAAATGTTGTATATCAAATAGGTATTGACATGTGTGAAACATGAGATGTGAATTAGCTTTTGCATCTAGAATCTGCCTGAATAATGAGCTGGGATGCCATGCACCAGAAGATAAAATTTGTAGATTTAGTTTTCCACAAAATTACTTACCAACCAATTTCATTTTGCTGTGAAAGAAGGTACAGTGGCAATGAGCTTACCATGCATTTTCTGTAGAAAACTATGAGAAAATTAATTTATAATGCAAGCAGAGGGGATATTTGCATCTAAGAAAGAACAGTTTGCCTATGCCTATATAATCAGGGTAGTACAGGTCAGATTCCAATAGGATTTAACTGAAAATCATAATTTAACTGTGTATTGCATAAAGATCCACAATTCTTTACTTTCCTTAGAGATTTTCTGTTAATTTGCAGGAAGTTTCTATTCAGGAAAATGCTATTCTTTCTCTTCGGGTAGCTAAAAATCCAGATTAGATAGCTATCAACTGTGTTTGAGACTACAACTGCCATAATTCCCTTCCAGCATGGGTGATGGGTCTACTGGCCCTAAGAGGGTATAATTCCAAGGCATAAGAAAGGTAACAAGCTGAGGATTGTAAACTAAAAACAGTCTGTATAAAAGAAGGGCATTTTGCTAGATGATAAAATATATGTACTTTGCACTCAAATAATTCCAGACGCAATACTGTTGTTTGTTATAAAGATTAATAGCACCCATGCTTGACTAATGTAATGCATTCTATGTATTACTTTCTGACTGGACTTGAATTTCAATCAGCATAGACTTCAGCATTAGGCAGTCTAGGAAAGAACCAGAAAAGACCATATTTGCATTTTATTAGCTGCTGGTATTTTTCTGGATAAAGCATCTAATAATGACATTGAAGTCCTAATGGTATAACTCCAGGGTACTTCAGGCTTTTATTCATGGTTACCCGTGCCCTCCCACTCAAGCCCATGGTTCACTGAGGTCATCTAAGGAGGTTCAGCAACAGGGGCTTATCTCTCGTGAGATCTTGGAGCCAATCTTTCCCTGTAGCTGTCCCAATTTTTAAAAGGCAATCCTAGCTGAATTGAGAAGACTGACCTCTGTCTTGGTTTTCCAAAAAGTCTTCAAAACACCTCATGACCCTATGGATCACACCAAACAGGCCCCCCTCTCTTTCACAGTTTCCTGGAGTCCCCCCCCCCAAAAAAGAGTAGTTTTTATTTGGAATTCAGTAATTTTATGTAGGACAGTGATCTGGGAAAAGTTTCTCTCCTTGAATGATGTGGTCCAATTTTGATTTCTTGCTGGGCTACTATTTAACAAACTACAAAGCAAAATAGCATATTTTCAATTCAAATCTGCTTAAAGAAAGTAATGCTTTCTACAGCAGAAGTGTTTTTGTGAATAATCACAGGAAACCTTTTTTTTAAAAAAATGGCACGATTATGAAAACTGTGAACAACAATATAAATAGTTGATCCTGATGCTATTTTCTGTCACACAAAATCTATGTTTTTCCATAGTTGGCAAGATACTCAAAAGATGCAAAATGATGTTGATTCATGGAACAGAGAAATAAATAAGTACCAATCTTGTTTTTCAACTTATTTTTTAAAATGAAAATTGAATTGTGGATTAATATATTATTTCATGTCTCCTGATCTGCAAATTCTAAAAATTGGCAATATTTATGTTTGCTTTTCCAATCTAGCTATTGTCTAGCTAAGCAGACTGTTATTCGCTATTATTTTGTCAAGAATGTCTCAAGGCCTAGATTGGCCACAGAAGCATTATTGGAAATGTATGTTCGAGACAGATATTTTGCTAGTAGTCATTTATTAATTTTTAACTAAAACAATCTTTGTAGTAACATTAAAGGCAAGTGGAAGAGCACATGGCAGACACTGAGGGGAACAAGTCTATTAAAATCCCTGACTACCCATTTTGTTTGTTGAATTTATAAGCCGTTCCAATTGTTGCCAATTCTTAGGAGCATACATAATTGAAACTATGCATAAGAACAAATAAGGAAAGAATCAAATACAACAACCCAAATAAATCATAACTACATACCCATATTTATAATTTATCAGCCAAGGAACAATAACAATCCATTAATGACAAACATATCACCACTTAAAGAAGAAATAACTTCATAAAATATACACCTCTGGTGCCTTTTGGGATGGACAGGTTTAATAGTCCTCTGATTGTCTAGCAGGACCATATGGATCTTGGGAGCAATGCTATTTCAGAGAAGGAAGTAACAACTAAAAGACCTCATGGATAGCATTGATCCCAACCCTTCAGATACAAATATGCAATTAAACCTGAACACCTGTTGTATGGTAAAAAAAAGAAGTTTGAAAAAAATAAGAATTTGATATAAATATTTCCATAAGCACTGCCTCTGTACAAGAAAATCTACCTTCCTTCTTCTCCTGGCAATGGTTCTTAATGTATATTTGAAAGCAAACAAAAAGAACACAACTCTTCAGTGGCTACCAGGAAAATGGAAAAAGGGGGACAGAATATAGCTATTACAGGGTGAAGAAATAGATAATGAGAACCATTTTCTCCTCTTCCTGAATTTTCTTAGACAGTGGAAAAAGCACAGGCTCACATGTAACATCAGTTATGAGAGTGTGTGATTCTTCTAACCGTAAAACTACTTTAAGCTGGAACGACATGTACTGTAATTGGTATGCTTAACATGCTTAGTTAATATCGTAATATAATTATGCCAAGTAGCATACTTCAGAATTTCATAGCTCAAAACACCGTCAAACATTATATCTCTTAAATATGCAATTTTGAAGCAACATTTGGAATTACTGCTAGCAGAGAAAAGTTGATTTCTTGGAAATCTGGTGCAAATAATAATATGGGTGAAAAATAATAGTTCATCTTTGGAATGGCTGTATAAGACTATTAAGATAGCTTGCTTAAAAAAGATTTTTCCCCCAAGCATATTGCTCAATGGACATTTTGTATAAGCCTTGAAAGTCTGCAACACAGCAGGAAAACTTGATGAAAGCATTTATTTTATTTATACTATTACTTTCATGTGCAGACTCAATGACAATTTATTTTAAAACTCTCTCTTTCTCTCTCTCTCTCTCTCTCTCTCTCTCTCTCTGTATAATAAAATTATATAATGCTATTTGAGTTAAAACATTGCATTTTAAAATTATTTCATTTTAATACTGGCCTAACTGATTTTATATGCTATTTTTTTTACTGAGGAACTCTGGGAAATGAAGTACCAGAAGAGACATCTGGAACACCATTAGAAGAAGGCTCAGAGGCCCTTGTGAATGGTTTAGTGCAGGGGTCTTCAAACTTAGCCCTTTTATGACCTTTGGACTTCAACTCCCACAAATCCTCAGCCAGGTGCTGAGTTTATGTTTGTTTGTGAGTCCTTAAATAGATCAGAATGAATTATCTGAAGAACTATCTAACCCTTACATTCTAAGAAATTATATTCTGCAGATAGTATTCAAATTTGCTGATGCTAAAATATGGAGGTGGAAATTTTTGGAAATGGCATCTTTGGACACAACTATCATGTTGAAGTGTAATACAAAATTAGTATGTCTTTCAGACTGCATTATGTCAAATTCAAAGTGAATTGTAGTGTTTAGTTGAGGAGGGCAAAAAAAATCTGAAAAGGAATTACTTTTTTAATTTCAGTTTTATCGCTTGATGAATGATTGCATTTATCAGCAATTTTCACTACTTCAAACAGCCATATTTTAGTCAACAGAATCTATGAGACCAGTTTTCTTTTCAGTGACAAGCACCAAAGCTAACGAGATGTTGCTAAACATTACCTTCTCTTGATACTGACGTCGGGATGAATCCAAAGACTGAATCAGGGCTGTGGCATGCCCAACGAACATGGCATAACAGGTGGCCCCCACAATCATGCTCAGCATGGTTATCCAGAGATCTGACATGCTCACAGGGGCTCTGGCTCCATACCCAATGCAAAGCATATGGCTCATAGCTTTGAAGAGTGCATAGGAATACTGCTTCCCCCAGGAATTATTCTGTAAAAGAGGAGGGGAAGGGTGAACAGAGAGAAATGCTTGAGAACAAAGGAAAATAGCTTTAGGAGAATAACAGCCTTCTTATCTCAGAAGAAGCACCCCTGCATTACAACTTTCATAAATAAATAAAGATCATGGAGAAGTGGGTTGAGATTCATATAATCACAAATCAGGCATTTACACACCATGAACTTTCCTCCTTCAGAAGGATGACTAGCAAGTATTCAAGGCTCTCAGAATTTATCATGCTTTTATAATTGCCAAGTTCTATAAAACGTTATTAAAATTGAATTTGGAAAATGAACATGTAAAATACTGTATGATCCAGTGGGCAAGGAATTTTGGGTATAATGTGATGTTTGAACAATGGGAGAATATGTGGATAAAGGGTTTAAAATTCACATTAAATTATAACCTAAAAGGAAATTTTTACAAAATGATGTATTGCTGGTATTTAACACCAGATAAGTTAACTAGAATGTATAAAGACATTTCAAATGAATGTTGGAAATGTAAATGTAAAGAAGGGACTTTTTATCATTTATGATGGACGTGTGATAAGGCAAAGAAATATTGGAGTAGGATTCATATATTAATGCAGAAAAATTTTAAAGTGAACATAAAGATTAAACCAGAAACTTTCCTTATGGATCCAACAGAAAGAAAACTGGGAAAAAAATTTGGAACTCTGATTTTATATATGATGACAGCAGCAAGATTGCTCTACGCACAAAAGTGGAAGGATGCTTCGATTCCTATCATGGATGAATGGTTACAAAAACTGATGGGATTAGCAGAGATGGCCAGATTGACTGTGCTGATAAAAGAAAAGAATGTAAGTACTTTTGTTTCTACTTGGAAACTGCTTCTGGACTTTATGCTTGAGGTGGGAAAAAATGATATTATGATTTTGGGTTTTACCGATTAGACTGATTTGTCGATGCAGAAATGACTAATGCATACTACTACAGAAATGTAAAAACTTGAGATTTGATTTTAACGTCTGATTTTACTGCAACAGAGAGATTCGGAAGTCAATGCCTTTTGTTTCTTCCTCTCCCTTTCTTCACACCTTTTTTGTTTTCCTTTTTTCTACTGTTGTTCCCTACTAATTGCTTTTGTATTTTCACATTTTATGTTATAAATGAATAAAACTAATAATAAAAAAAGAATTTATAATGCCTTTTTATACATGAAATATAAATGGTACATATGTATTAAAAAAAATATTATTCATTTGTTCATACACATACGTACATGGATTTATGTGCCATCCATGTATGTGTATATGTTTATGTCTGTATATGTTTATGTGTTTGTACACATACAGACATATAGACATTTGCACATGCACACTAATGTATTAAAATCTTTAGATAGAGCTGACTATGCAATTAGAACAACTGTCTGTAGCTTTCTCTCCTCTAGCCTCTTCAGGTAATAGATTGCAAATGTTGATTGCACAACATCTGTTTGGTTCAGAACTCCTAAAATTATAGGAATATATCCTGCTCTGGGATTCTTATTTGATAGACATATTACAGTTATTCAAAATTCTTTCATGGGGCACAAATATCTATGAAGTAAAATTAGATAGTGTAAGTTTATCAAATCCAAGATAATTTGAATTATCATAGTTTCCCCTGAAATGCTCTCTTTGGTTCAAGGCACATGAATAAGAAACAATATCAAAATGTTTGAAAGGGAATCCTGAAATCTCAAATAATAATAATAATAATAATGACGATGATGATGATGATGATAAATTTGGAAGGGACCTTGGAGGTCATCTAGTCCAACCCCCTGCTCAGGTAGGAAACCCTATACCATTTTGGACAAATGGCTGTCCAATTTCTTCTTAAAAACTTCCAGTGTTGGTGCATTCACAGCTTCTGGAGGCAGGCTGTTCCACTGGTTAATTGTTCTAACTGTCAGGAAGTTTCTCCTTAGTTCTAGGTTGCTTCTCTCCTTAATTAGTTTCCACCTGTTGCTTCCTGTCCTGCCTTCAGGCATTTTGGAAAATAGCTTGACTCCCTCTTCTTTGTGGCAGCCCCTGAGATATTGAAACACTGCTATCATGTCCTCACTTCTCTTTGTTAAACTAGACATACCCAATTCCAGCAACCGTTCCTTATATGTTTTAGCCTCCAGTCCCCTAATCATCTTTGTTGCTCTTCTCTGTACTCTTTCTAGATGCTCAACATCTTTTTTACGTCGTGGTGACCAAAACTGGATGCAGTATTCCAAGTGTGGCCTTATCAAGGCATTGTAAAGTGGTATTAATACTTCACGTGATCTTGATTCTATCCCTCTGTTAATGCAGCCTAGCACTGTGTTGGCTTTTTTGGAGGCTGCAGCACACTGCTGGCTCATATTTAAATGATTGTCCACTAGGACTCCGAGATCCCTCTCACAGTTACTACTATTGATGTACAAATGTTCAGATAGTGTTGTCTTTTTTTACCAGTTGTATAAAATGAGAAGGAAGGACTCACTGGAGAAGAGCCTAATGCTGGGAAAGATTGAGGGCAATAGAAGAATGGGATGAAAGAGAATGAGGTGGCTGGATGGAGTCACTGAAGCAGTAGGCGTGAGCTTAAATGGATTCCAGAAGATGGTAGAGGACAGGAAGGCCTGGAGGAACGTTGTCCATGGGGTCGTGATGAGTCGGACATGACTTCACAACTAACAACAACAATATTTCATGTCCTTTAATTCCAGTGCTGTTAATTCTGGGGGGGGGGGTGTCCAGAAACTCTATTTAGAAGAGTTTAAGCATGCCATATCACAAATGTATTTTTGGGAGGGGGTTGATTGGGGAGTGATAGACTAGAGACCCCTGCCTTTATTATCAACCTGGTGGCATTTTGAAGTCCCTTCTACACCTCTAAAGGCCTCCATATCTTCTGTGGATTGTTGCAGAGGTTGAACTACTGTTCCACAATAGATACAGAAATCTGCATTTAATTGTGATACTTTGGGTTTTGTTTCCCACTGAGAGCAATGACATTGTTTGAATACATAGAAACATAGATATTTCCATGCTATTTTACCTTCTTCTTTAACCCTCAAGATCAATTATGAGAATTTAAAGATCTAGTACAATTGTTCATTCTAGTTACTGATATCAGCAAAGTCTGAACTAGAAATACATACTTTCAGATGCTTAATGCTTCTTTCAATAATAGTTCACAAAGGAAGAATTATTTTTTAAGGGAAATGAGGTCATTAAAACCAAATTTGTTTACATGGGTTCCAATATGAACATAAGACCTGAGCATGAAAACTACATGGCTGCATGCAATAATTTTCATAACCAGGATTATAGAACATTTTTCTTAGAATTAATAACTTTTAAAAGCTTCTGAAACATTAATAAATTAAAAAAACAAACACTTTCTGTTACTCAAAATCCTACTTTTTTCTCAAAGGAGAAAAACAATACACTATAAATGCTTATCACTGCCTTCAGATTAACTGAATTAAACAGAGAAACAGTAACCCAAGGAGCGAAATAAACTATTAAAGACAGTAATTGTGACAAATACCAAAGCTGTTTTATCTGAGGATTGATTATATAATCAAGCCTGAGGGTACCAGAAAATCTTCACATTTGTAAAAAGCAGTGATCACTGATTATTTGCAATTAGTCTACCAAGTCTAAGCCTTAATTTAGAAGTATTCTTCGGCAAACTCTATTTAAATATAACCCTGTTCTATGTTTAAAGGTGTGTTGTACTCTTTTTAGTCAGAAAGATGCATCCTTCTAAATATTGGCTTCATGCAGCTAAGGAACAACTAAGGGAACAATTATTTTTGCTGGGAAATCATCTGTGGAAACAAAAGATGTCCACTGCCAGCAGAGAAAGGATTATAGCTGTTTCACCATAACTTCTGCTTTGATATTCATGAGAGCCAGTACTGCTGTTGATCTCCAGAAGTTCAGCAGTCTTGGGAGTTAATTGTAAATCTCCAAGACTCAGTCCATTCATTCTCCCAAAACTGACCTGATAATAGTGACAGCTGTGGAATCAGTACTGTTACTATTTTTCCTTTGAACCTAATGGGAGAAAAAATAATGACATGATTCTGCCCAGTTTTTGCTAAGTCACCCAGCTAGCAGGGCCAAGAATACAATACTTCCAATATTATACAACCTCTACCATCATCACTACTTAATACAAGTTTGTTCTGCAAATCCCACTGAAAATAAGATTTATATTTTTCAGACTGACATTTCCTACTAGTGCTTCTTGTCAGTTTAGTTTAATATATCTTATTATGACGAAGATCAGTTAGTTCCAGGCCTCAACAAATTTATGAATCTTGATCCAGATATTGTTTTATATGCCTGGTTCAGAGAAGATTTATTTATTTATTTATGAGACTTATATATCATCATGGATTAACCATGGTCAAGTTGGTTCTTCCTAAAAAGAGAGAAAAAAACTGCACATATAGTACAGTACATGATAACCGTATCTTTAGTTATACAACAGTGTTTTAACTTGAGTTGGGTGGGGTTACTCCTAGGAAAGTCTCCCATTGTTAAGCAGATCAATTCTATTGCCACATGGCAGCTTTATTCATCATCACCATTTATCCATACTTTGACATTCAAAGGCAAATTGGCTTTCAAGGGTGAAGGTTGTTGTCTAACTGAGGCTATCCTTTTTTTCCTTCAGCTCTTGGTTACAGCTGGATAGCCCCAGCTGCTGCAATCTGGTAGCAAAGATCTGCAAAATTGCTATTGCTTCAAAACATATGCTTCTGCTATGCTGAAAAGAGAAAGCAGATTTACTGTATAGCAGTTTCTTGGGATATTTTGAGCCTAAAATACTTAGACTGTTCATTTGTTGTACACTGGGAAACTCATGCTATTTCCAGCATTTGTGAATAAAATGATCTTTTTACAGGTTTAGCTCAAAACAACCAAAAACTAGCTGAAAGGGGATGGAAAGATATTTCTGGCTCCTGTATTTCATAAATACACTACATAA